TGATAAGAGTTGTATGAGCCCCTAATGAAACGATTGAGAAAAAAAAAAAGAGTTCCTTTCTCAGAAACCCCAAGAGGCAGTTCTACCCTTTCCTATAGGGTCGCTATGAGCCGGGATTGATTCTATGGCAGTGAGTTTGGTTTTTGATTTGGTACACACTAAGTATTCTGAGAAATACCTTTTTTTGTTTGTCCCATTGACATAAAAGAATTGCAGATTTAAAAAAAAAAGAATTTCAGAGATAGGGAGAAGGTAGTGGGGAGGAGGGGAGAAAGGGTGAACTGATCCTAATGACTGACATATAATCCTGCCCCTAGGGGGTTGATCAGCAGAAACGTGGGTGAAGGGAGACAGCAGTTGGTGTAAGATATGAAAACAATAATAGTTATAAGTTATCAAGGGGTCATGAGGGTGGGAGGGGGGGTGAAGGGGGAAAAAAGAGGAACTGATACCAAGGACTCAAATAGAGAATAAATGTTTAGAAAATGAAGATGGCAACATATGTACAGTTATGCTTGATACAATTGATGTACAGAATGTCATAAAATGATTTAAAACAACAACAAAAACACGACAAAGAATCAGAGAAAGGATGTTTTTGCCATGTCTGTCTGAGTCAGGCTATCTTTGGGGCTCCTGCAGAAACCATCACCCGGAGTTCTGCTCTCATCAGGAATTAACCGCCTGGGAATGGGCCCGTTTATAAGAACACACTAGTCAACAGCTCAGAGATCAAGTCCACCAAGGCCAAACAAAAGGGGGGCCCCAAATGTTTGAGATAGTAAATGTTCATGCAAATATTAGAACGTTACGACAAAAATGCCCTAGGCTTCTTGCCAATGGTGGATTTTTTTGGTTGTTGAAGTTCATTTACCAATGGGTTTGATCCTTTGAGTCATAAGAGTTGTTTGTTCTGGATGCTACAGGTCGACCCAGTTGAATGTGGAAATGTTTTTTAAAGCCCTTTGGGAGAGGCTGAGTTAGAAGAAGGTCATTAACAATTATGGGCATTTGGTGGAGACCTTAACTAATATTTACAGAATGACTTGTATTTCGATGGTATTTTTGCATGCCTCATTTTATTTAATTCCACAGGAAAATTACTGAGTGTTTTCCACCATTTCCGTTGAAGAGATAGATGGACATAGGCCAGCTGTTGCTTAGCTCATGGTAATAAAGGGATTGTGAAAGGAGGACATCTGGACTTTCTAACTCGCGTATTCTAGTAAGCAGACCTTCTGTGCCTCTGACCATGTTTCTCGTCATTAACACATTGTGTTTTGAGGGCCAAGTAGAAAGCGTGCTGGTGCTTTTGGGTGCCGTTGCTGTTGTGTGGGTGGATTTTGACTCACAGCGACCCCATGTGACAAAGTACAACTGTCCCATCGGGTTGTCTAGGCTGTAGTCTTAGGTCATTATCCTGTGAAACCCTGGCTGGGCTCAAACTGCCAATCTTTAGCAGCTCAGTGTTTAACGGTTGTGCCACCAGGATGCCTATAAAGAGTATCTGGTGTAGATCTAAGTTTCTCTCCCTCTCTCTCTCTCTCTTTGGTCCAGTGCAGAATTGTACACTAGTCTGAATGGTTATACAACGCAATTTAAAAAGCACGCTGTCATCTGATGGAATGCATTTGAAAGTGTACACTTTGATAGACTCTCAGATTAATTCGCTTCAGGTTATTTTAAAGAGATTGTCTGGTGTGTGGTTAGCCCGCAAGGCCTCCAGGAATGGCGCCTAAAGGGATCCAGGACCCATCATTTTCAAAGATCTGGACAAGCAGAAGCGGGAGGCCCCAGGGCGAGTGGCCAGGAAAGCTGGTGAATGGAAGGGTGGTCCAGGTTTCCTCCTGCTGATGGGAAGCTACGTGGGCTGGCCACGGACTTCGGTTGCCTGGTAACACAGCGACTGTGGCCTTTCTGTTGTATGTGTGCCCTGCCAGAGGGGCACCTTTGGAATGTACTTGGAATTCTTTGACGTGAAGCCTTTGCACCAACTGAGTTCAGTCTCTGCCTGGAACACGTATCGGCTTCACAGCCTCCCTCACTTCCTTCAGGCCTCAACTCAATGGCGAGCATCCAGAGAAAACGCCTCTAAATGACCACCTGAAACCGCAATCGCTCCATCCCGTCTAGCCCCTACTCTTCCTTCACCGCTTCGGAGTGCACCCAGCACCACCTGAAATGACAGCACACCTGACCAGCATGGTTTCTGGTGTCTGTCTTCGTGAATTGGCCTAAAAAAGAGAGCGAACCCAACCCACTGCCACCGAATTGACTTGAACCTATAGCGACCCTATGCAGAGTTTTGGGGGCTGTAAATCTTTATGGGAGCCCCTAGCTTCATCCTTCTCCCAGGCAGTGGGGGGTGGGTTTGAATTTTTGTCTTTATTTGACCGTGCTAGCAAGGCTGGAGAATTTCCTTTTTGTCTACTCACTGAAATTTATCACCCCCAAATCAATACCTGTTTGCACACGTGCTCAGCAGTGACAGCTTTGAGTTCTACTTGGCCACCTTTTTCTTTCACTCTATGGCTGGATATTCTAAGTTCCGCTAAGTAGTTGGGCTTCTTTAAAGACAGACACTAAAGCACACATTCCTTGGTGGAAGCAGTCAGCCAATGCTTTCTTTTCACTCAGACAATGTACCACAGCGGAGCCCGATGGTGGTGAGTTCACATCCTGGTCTCCTACTTGCCAGCGGTGCGACTCAGACAAGTTAGTATACCTTACTTTCCTCAAGAGTCAAATGAGGAAAAGAACAGTAATTACCAGATAGGATTTGGGCAGTGACTAATGAGATGATGTGGCTACGTGTTTAGGATAGCTCAATCAATATTAGCAACCATTATGATTTAGATATGGATTCTTTCAGGAAATCAAGAGATAGGAGGTGAACGCGATTACTTCACAAAGGTGGCTTAGCAGGTGGGAACGGCCACGTGCGGGTGCCTCTGAGCAGATGGCATCGTCTCCTCTGCCCTAGGCTGCCAGGAGGCATTCTCAAGAACTGGAATGGAATGGAGAAGCAGCAGCTGGTAAGGGGAACACCGGACCTCTAAATAGCGGGCAGACGGTGTGTAGTCTAGATTGGGATGGGAAATATGGAGAGTGATAGGATCGAGTACAGCTACATGACACACATCTGTTTGTTCTCTGTAGAAGTATGTGCTTGTTTCTCTTGAAAGGCAGGGCAGGTTGGGTAGGATTAGAGGTATAGCTAAGATTGGGCAAGTACGGTGTGTGCCTGTGGTGCCCAGGGCAGGAGGACACCACTGAACACTTTCTATGAACCATCAGTTTCCATCACCAGCTGCGAGGGATCACCTAGCACACTAAAACGTATACTTTCATATTTGAGAGCCTCTGTGGCTCAAGACAGACTGTGTGATTCTACTCTGCTGAGTGAAGCAAGATAGAGAAAGAAAGAAAAAAAAATGACTTTGAGCACATTGTAGTCTAATTTTCATCTATGAAAGTAATGGTGGTACAATTGTAATTTTCAGGCAGTGACATCATGTGTTAAGTCAAAGACTTAGGGACTTTATTTGTATTTTTGAGCTCAAGGTTAAACTCTCTAAACGACGGGTGGCAGATGCTTGGGCAGGTGAGCGATTTAAGTGCTTGCCAGGGATTTTCCATAGAGACCCCCGGGGAAGAGAAAGGGATCCTGATACCAATTTGGAGAAGCCTGTCATTTCACATTGACCGTGGCCATGGAGTTGATGCCGATGCATAGTGACTCATACCCTGCCTTGTGGTATAGAGCAGAGCTGCCCCAAGGTGTTTCCAAGACTAAATCTGTGTAGAAACGGATTGTGACTTTTCCCCTAGTGTTTCCAAGACTAACTGTGTGGAAGCAGATTGTGTCGTCCCCCCCCCCCACACACACACAGAGTGGCTGGTGGGTTTGAATTGCTGACATCCGTGTGCTTAACCACTGTGCCAGCAGCAGCAGAGTTCCTGTGTCACATGTAGCCAGTAGCTTTTGAAACATGACAGATGAACTCCACTTGGGGGTTGCCGCAATGGCCAAGTTAAATAGCACGTTGAGCAAATGCTTTTTTAAAAAGTTAAAATTACTACCTTTGAGTGGCTTATGTTATCATCTTGCAATATAACTAGCTAGCTATAGACTCGATAGTAAAAAGAAGCAGGGACTAGAAACGCCACCCTGCAGGAAGAGAGGCGTCACCATACCATCTCCGTGAATCGATCGGCGCAGGCCATTCGCACCCACTCTGGGGTGGCGGGGCTCCTCACTGTGAAGTCCTGGGCGATGTCTCGTTCTCTGCGGGCTGCGGCCACAGCATCAGCGATGGCAAAGAACACCGATGACCCCAGGAACATTCCCGACTCCCCAAGGCCCTGCAGGACAGCACATTTGTTCTACTGAGTTACTGGAATAGTTTAAGGGGGATATAATGCATATCATGTAATTCACTAGTTCTTTCATCACCAAGATCAACGTTGGGACATTTTCTTCCTTCTTGTCCCCACTGCCGTTGACTTCCCTTTCCCTCCGGCACATTTGTCTTAGAACCTTCTACACCACTAGATCACTAGCTCCTAGAGGGGAAGGGGTCTGGTCTTGTTCACCGGGGCATTCCGTACAGGAGTTATCCACACAGGGTCTGACACATACGAGCAACTCAACAAGTGTTTGCTGATTGACTCACTGACTGACTGAAGCTGGAGTACTCCTGAAGCTCCTCGATCATTAATTCTGTCTGGCTTAATTTTGTTCTGTGAGGGGAGGATGCTTTATTAAGAAAAGTTCTACATTCAGCTAGAAGGTTCTAAGTCAACTTCATGAGCAGAGAGAAAAGTGCCACTGTTTTTCAGGATTTCCAGTGACACCGCCTTTCATTTCATTTAGTAGTTTAATCTTAAGGTTCTTAAGTGAAAATGTTATCCTCTCGAGAGCCAAAGCTTCTTGTTGAATGTAAGAGTATTCAGTGAAGTGGTTACTAAAACAATCTTTGGGGTCTATGCCATTGGACATGGGTGGACCATTTATTGTCTCTGTCAGTATTACCTAGGTGACTCATCACCACATTCTGACAGTTTATAATGATTTGAGGAGTATAGTGGGTTACACATTGGTCACCAGTTCAAACCCAGCAGCAGCAGCTCCTAGAGAGGAAGATGAGACGTTCTGCTTCCGTAAAGATTTACAGTCGGAAACCCACGGGTACAGGTCTTTCGACATTGTCCTATAGGGCCATCTGAATCAGAACAGACTGATGGCAGCGAGTGTGGTTTATAGTGATTAGCTTGTGGTAACAGGTAACCTGTATTTATTGGCTGACTTCCACCAAGTCATTTGAGCCATTGCCCAGCATCTACTGTAGGCACTCACCTTGGATGAATAGATGGTTAGCGGGGTATGCGACGATGGCAAAAGGGAAACATTGAATTCCTCGGGGATGTCCGTGACGGTTGGAATTTTATACTCATCTGGGCCCCGAGAGTGCAGGATGCCTTCAGGGGAATAGTTCAGTTCTTCTGTAGTATAAAGGCCCATTCCTTGAATAAATGCACCTTCAATCTAAAGGGGGAAATTTTCAAGTTTTGTGACCTTATACTTTTTAAAATGTGTTTCCTTACCACCACCACCCCAACCCCGACCCCCTTCGCCTCAGGTGTGAGTCTCCTCAGTTGGCCAGCACTTACCTGTCCAATGTCAATGGCTGGATTTAGGCTACAGCCTGCATCCATGATGATATCTGTTCTGATTTTCTGTCAAAAATAAAAACACTGTCACCATTCAAACATCAAATAGTCTCTAGTCATTCAAGAACTCCTGTTGGTCAGTGAACACGACATCAACCCTCCATCAACGTTCCAGTTAGGTTGAACTGGTAGAACTTCTGTGTAGCCCTAGCACTGATACCCCCAGAAGGCCTTTGCATTCATGATTTTGACTTTTATTTTCTTATTTCTTACTTTTTATTTTTATTTATTTTATTTAAAAAAATCATTTTATTTATTGATTATTTTTAACATTTTTTTGGTTTTTTCTTTTCTTTTAAAATCATTTCATTAGGGGTTCATACAACTCTTAGCACAATCCTTACATACATCAATTGTGTAAAGCACATTTGTAAATTCATTACCCTCATCATTCTCAAAACATTTGCTCTCCACTTAAGCCCCTGGCATCAGCGCCTCATTTTCCCCCCTCCCTCCCTGCTCCCCCTCCCTCATGAACCCTTAATAATTTATAAATTATTATTTTGTCATATCTTGCACTGTCCAATGTCTCCCTTCACCCACTTTTCTGTTGTCCGTCCCCCAGGGAGGAGGTAATTTGTAGATCCTTGTAATCGGTTCCCCCTTTCCAACCCACCCTCCCAGTATCGCCACTCTCACCACTGGTCCTGAAGGGATCATCCACCCTGGATTCCCTGTGTTTCCAGTTTCTATCTGTACCAGTGTACATCGTCTGGTCTAGCCAGATTTGTAAGGTAGAATTGGGATCCTGATAGAGGAGGGTGGGTGGGGAGGAAGCATTTAGGAACTAGAGGAAAGTTGTATGTTTCATCCTTGCTATATCGCACCCTGACTGGTTCGTCTCCTCCCGGAGACACTTCTGTAAGGGGATGTCCAGTGGCCTACAAATGGGCTTTGCACCCGCCCCCCCCTCATTCACAATGATATGATTTTTTCTTCTGATGATGCCTGATACCTGCCTGATCCCTTAGACACCTTGTGATCGCACAGGCTGGCGTGCTTCTTCCATGTGGGCTTTGTTGCTTCTGAGCTAGATGTCCGCTTGTTTACCTTCAAGCCTTTAAGACTGCAGATGCTATATCTTTTGCTAGCCAGGCACCATCGGCATTCACCTGCTTTGTCTTCACCGATTATGTCGGGAAGGTGAGCATCATAGAATGCCAGTTTAATAGAACAGAGTATTCTTGCATTGAGGGGATTTTGACTTTTTAAAGTGACTCCAAAGTTCTTGACATGCTGGCGTGTGGGAGTGAGTCATTTAGTAAATCACTGCGCCAGCATCTGATTCTCATTTTGGATTTGTTGTTTGAGTATAACTCATGAGCTCATCTAATCCTCATGGTAGTCTGAGTGGTACTAAGTGGTACTACTGCCATTTTATCGAGGAAATCTCATAATGTATGTCTGATTTTAGAGATTTGGAAAATCCCCGAAGATATTAAGGGCAAGAGTTGAGACTACTTTGGGCTTTGGAAAGCGGCGTCCTTCTCTGAAAAACCTCAAGAAATCTATCCCAGGCATGCCAGTTAGCTGGCTCGAGAACCACAGAAAGCTTCTGAGTGCTGGTGGCCTGTCCTTGGGGCTCCCCTGCTGCCCACACTCTGATAGCATTTGCTGTGCCCTCACTGCCAGGACCAGTTCTGATGGTGCTTTGTTCCCAGTGCCCGGGCTCCTACTTGTCATCCAGCCTGTGCATTGCATGATTCGCTGCCTTTCTTCTGACTCCAGCCTGGCCTCTTGTCCTTCATGCCTTAGCGTGGGGCTTCCATCGTGAAACCTGGACTGCGTGGTATGATGGGCGGTGGATAATGGGAAGAGATGGCTGTGCTCTTATACTGAATTATAGGTTGTTATAGCTCACCAACCATGAATGGCCAAAGCAATAAAAATTAAAATAAAAAGAAGACAAAAGCAAGGAAAGCAAAGCACTTTTTACTACCAAGAGAGTCTGACAATAAAGCCTGCCAATGAATTTCTTTGATTTTTCTTTAATTAAAAAAAGTTTTACTTCTCCAGAAAATAAACTATCATTAGGGAACGAGGTGATATTGGAAGCACTGGACCCGTAATAAGAAAGGCATCAGAAGGACCCAATCTTAACTTTCTCAGGACCAAAGATCTGAATGCGCCCGTGGGGCTGATTTCTTCAGTGAATGAGATGGAGCCCCGAATTGCCAGCTAAAACGAGTATGTTCTAGATAGATACACACGGGGCATATTTATACTAGGAAACTATTCATTGTTTATCTGAAATTAAAATTTAACTGGGTGTCTTGTATTTTCATTTGTTACAGTTGACACCGTTACCTTCTGGGCAGTGAGCCAGAAAACAGTTGATCTTTGTAGAACTTGCTACCTGGTGGGGGTGCCGGAATGGACTTGAGGTGTGTGGAGACGCTGACAGCTGAGTCACCCCCACCCCCAGCCTGGCGTCCTCCTCCTGGCCTCCTTGTTTACCATCCTGCATGCATATTTTCTGTGTGTGTTGCACTCCGAAACACACTAGCAGTCAGTTTAAATGTAGCCTTACCATCAAGCTGAAATCCCCCATCCCATGCGTTTACTTCTAAAAACAGAACTGGAAGGCAAGTGAAGACATGATACTGACATGGCCCAGAGTGGAGCTGGAGTTGAGTCTGCGGGTAACTGCTTTCCAGAGCATCCCTTCTTTACTTTATTTCAGAATTGGATCTGTATAACATTTTTTGTGGGTGTGAGTAGCAGCCCAATGTGTAACCCACTATGCCACCAGAGCTCCTGAGTTATATACTTTTTAAAGTGTGGACAAGTTAACCAGAAATGGGGCAATCAGACATGTTGATAAAGTTTACATGTCAGGATTTTCCAGGGTCATTTTGCTCTGTATGAATTGACTTTCTGATTTAGGGTGAGGTAGCTCAAGATGATGCTGGAAGCATTTGTGTGTGGAGTTCATGTGTGTTACTGGTCTCCCCCGTGTGCTGACTCACAGTGGACTATCCTTTGGGTTGTGTTATACTGTAAGGTTTCTCTAATCAGCATCTTCTCTGGGATCGTTCCTGGACTATAGCTTTGGCTTTGAGGCTTTGGCTCTATCCACAAAGGTGCAGGTTGTTCACTTTTAGTTAAGCATGACCCTCTATTTTCAAAAGGTGGTTTCTTGGATGTTGAATTAAAATAGAAACATGAACATTATTTTCACTTAAGAACTCTATTTCTACTAGAGACTTCTGGCAAGATGGTGCCCAGGTAAGCAGCTTGCATCGAGAGTTCTGTGGTGGTCAGTAAATCCATCGATTAGGAGACTGATTAGCAGATTCAGGAAAGGGAGAGAGGGACCAGACCTCAACCTGGTGCACCCAGCCTGAGGGCAACATAGCAGCATGAAGCAGCGAACTAATAGAGAGTATACGAGGCCAGCCCCAATCTCAGCTACATGGACCCCCTCCCCAGAAGATTGCACTATAGAGGATAACACTGAAGATACAGCCCAGGGAGAGTGATGGGTCTGCCCAGACCACACAGTAAGAGAGAGCGAGAGCCAGAGCGAGAGAACAAGAACAGCATCTTGGCTTTGAGGACGACATTCCTGCTCAGAGCAGTCAATGCACAGAGAAGACCTTAGGTTGGGCCTCCTCACGAGACACGATGTTCCCTTACTGACCCACAGCACTGGGGGGCAGCACCAGGGACACTGTGCAGGAATTGTGCTGGGTCTGAAACCCCCACACCAGGGCGTAACAGGAAAGGAGTGCAAAAGAGCAGCAAGAGGAGCAAAGCAACATAGTCCCCGAGGAATCCTGAAAATAGACTTCGGACTTGGGGGCAGGGCTTGGCACCTCATCAGACCCTATCAAAATGTGGCGAAGAAAGCTGATGGTGCCTGGCTATCAAAAGGTATAGCATCTGGGGTCTTAAAAGCTTGAAGGTAAACAAGTGGCCATCTGCTCAGAAGCAACAAAGCTTACATGGAAGAAGCACACCAGCTTGTGCGATCACGAGGTGTCGAAAGGATCAGGTATAAGGCATCATTAGAACAAAAAATCTTAACCATAGTGAATGAGGGGGGGAGTGCGGAGTGGAGACCCAAAGCCCATTAGTAGGCCACTGGAGATCCCCTTGCAGAGGGGTCTCAGGGAGGAGTGAGCCAGACAGGGTGTGATGTAGCAACGATGAAAAATACAACTTTCCTCTAGTTTCCTCCCTCTCCCCCTCTTCCCCCCCACCATCATGATCTGAATTCTACCTTGCAAGTCTGGCTAGACCAGAGGATGTACACTGGTACAGATAGGAACTGGAAACATAGGGAATCCAGGGCTGATGATCCCTTCAAGACCAGTGGTGTGAGTGGCGATACTGGGAGGGTAGAGGGAGAGTGGGTTAGAAAGAGGGAACCGATTACAAGGATCTATATGTGACCTCCCTGGGGGATGGACAACAGAAAAGTGGGTGAAGGGAGACATGGGAAAGGGCAAGATATGACAAAATAATAATTTATAAATTATCAAGGGCTATAAGGGAGGGGGGTGCGGGGAGGGAGGGGAAAATGAGGACCTAATGCTGGGGGCTTAAGTGGAGAGAAAATGTTTTGAGAATGATGAGGGCAATGAATGTACAAATGTGCTTTACACAATTGATATATGTATGGATTGTGATAAGAGTCATATGAGCCCCTAATAAAATGATTAAAAAAAAAACATTCATAAGGGTCAGCAGACAGACCAGGAACTATTCATAGGCTATGTTTTTCTTCTTTTTTAAAATATCATCTATATAAGATAGGCAGGGTAAACAATTCTGGGGAGATAACAATGAGACCGATGGTTCCAGAGAAACAGGGGAGAGGAGGAGGTGGGGGAAAGGGAGGGAAGAGCCAACAAACCCAGGCACAAGGGAACAACAAAAGATCTAAAATCTATGGCCAGAAGGGTATAGAATGCTTGGTGGGGTTTGATCAAGTGCAGTGTAGCCGAGAGGAAGTACAGAGAGCCTAGTGAAGATCAAACATGATAGTGGGACAGGAGGAAAGTAAAAGGAAATAGAGGAAAGAAGTAGGAGGCAAAAGACATTTATAGAGGTATAAACATAGGCATGTGCATATGTAAATGCATAATGATAGGGATATAGGTCTATGTACCTATATTTATAGGTTAAGTATTTGTGGGAAACAGAAAAATTTCTCCCAAGTTGTCTCCCCCAAATATATGTTAGATTTAGGACACTGCTTGCAGCTAATGGTAAATGATTGTCAAGTTACCTCCCCAAAGGCAGTCAGCTGCCAGACTACTGTCTGGTCCCACCACAGGTAGGGCCCACTCCCTGCTGCTAAGGACAATGGGCTACTTCTCCCTAAAGGCTTGCAGTCATTGGTTTGGTTCCTTTAGGTGGGGTTTCCACCACTGATAATGGTTTCTATAGTGAGTCAGAGAACAGGTCAAACCCGCTCAGTGACATCCAAAGTTAGGCTGCCATCCTGAATCAAGGATCTGCCCACCTTGTCACCTGCCCATCATGTATACCCCTAGATCACCCTCCCCCATTACTATATTACCTATAGCACAACCCTTTCCTGTGATGTATGTCTTCACCTGTAATTAGGGGGCTTGCACGTCCCCAGAGAATATAAAAGCCTTGGTTAGCAATAAATCTCTCTCTCTCTCTCTCCATGTGGACCACGAAGTGAGATTGAGGTGAGCATGCTGCTATGTAATGCGTCTGACTCCATTATTTCAATCTCTCTTCTATCTCTCATGCTCTCTGTGACTTTACTATAATCTTTACTTATTATTGCTGTACAGTTGCGCCTACCAGGCCTGTGATGATGTGTTAGGGGCGGGTACCCTGACAAGTATTAAGGTAGCAGAAGGACATTGGGCCTCTAACTCAAGTCCTCCCTCAACACAAGAACACTGTATTCTAATAATCTGGCATTCTGTGAAAGCTCACCTTTCCTGACAAGATTGCTGAAAACAAAGTGGGTGTGTAAGCTAATGTGGTGAAGAAAGCTGATGGTGTCTGGCTATTTCAAGATATAGCGTCTGGGGTCTTAAAGGCTTGATGTTAAATAAGTGGGCATCTAGCAGGGAATCAATAAAGTCCACATGGAAGAAGCACACCAATCTGTGTGATCATGAGATGTCAATGGGATCAGGTATCAAGCATCAGAAGACTCAAAACAAACAACCATTTCAATGAGAATGAGGGGGGTCATTTCATGATAGTGGGGGGTCAGAATGAAGACCCCAAATCCATCTGTAGACAATTGGACATCCCTTCACAGAAGGGACACAAGGAAGGGACGAGCCAATCAGAGTACAGTATAGTATCAATGAAACACACAACATTTCTCTAGTTCTTTAATGCTATCCCCTGCCCCCCACTATCATAACCCCAGTTCTATCTTACAAATCTGGCTAGACTGGAGCATATACACTGGTACAGATAAGAGTTCTCAACACACAGAATTCAGGACAGATAAATCCCTCAGGACCAATAATGAAAGTAGTGATACCATGAGGGTAGGGGAAAGGTGTGAGGAGAAAGGGGCGGAAAGAGGGAACCTAATACAATGATTGACATATAAGTCCCCACCCCAGGGGGACAAACAATAGAAACATGGGTGAAGGGAGACAGCAGATGTAAAATATGAAGATAAAAATAATTTATAAATTATCAAGGGTTCACGAGGGTGTGAAGGTTGGGGAGGGAGGGGAAAAGATGAGCTCGATACCAAGGGCTCAAGTAGAAAGACAATGTTTTGGAAATAATGATGGCAATATACGTACAAATGATTTATTTAAAAAAAAACACTTTCTTTAGAGGTCAGTTTTCCCTTGGGATTATTGTCTTTTGAAGAAGCATCAGCACATTGTTATGTGTTTAAAACGTTTACTCAGGACTATTTTATCGGTTTATTCCTTCAGATTAGACAGTTCATGCTTCCTTTAGGATTGGAGCATCTTCTTCAAAAAACAAGCAAACATTGGAAAGCCATTTTGTCTGAAGTGGAATAAAGAATTCCTTTGCAGTGGTTGGATAGTTGATATGCTCTAGGCTTTCTTGACCATTACATTTTCCTTTTACGTGGAAACGTAGGATAAGGTTGGGTCCTGGCACATTCTCCTTAAAACAAAATATTCCTTTTCTTGCTATACAAATATTACATAACAAGGGTTGCTTCATGTAGGACACAATTTTTGGGTGGTGGTTCTTTTAACTTGTAAGAAAGCTGCATTTGACTTACCCTGTGAGCTCCGGTCAGGCAGTCAATTTCAACCTCCGAACAGGCAGCTCCATAGACGTAGTAAGGAAACGGGTCTCCCTCTCCCTTCTCCCAGTCCATAAAAGCCTTGTAGCCCCTGTGGAAAACATAAAGCCCGTTGCCTTAGGGGATGCAAACAATGTTGATTCATTTAAAAAATAATCAAAATTTTACAATAGCCTTTAATTTGATGAATGTTCTTTTCAACCTTTTTTGGGGGGTTTTAACCTGTGTTCAACTGCAAACTCTATTTATAACCTTATTAATTACAGCAGCACCATCTTTGGCCTCCATTAGGAAGAGGCTATTCCTTGTGTTAAAAAGGAGAGTGAAGCCACCAGACTGTTTTGGCCAAGACCACACAGTGTGTCTGGATCCTGGCGGGTTAGGGTTTATGCTTAAGCCATGCACGTTGAGCGCCTCAAGTGGTATCCACCTATCATTGTTCCCAGGGGGCACCCCTAGCTTGTGCTAGGCTAACGCACACGAGCCTGATGGGTAAGCTGGCCATCCAAGGCACTAATTTATAAAGGAAGATGCACCCAGCTAGGGTTGGGGTTGTTTTCCTCTTGGGTAACTGGATTTAGGAATATAGAACTCAACATGGGCAAAGCACAAGCCTCGTCACCCCTTACTGCTGTGCGTTTTGTTTGTTGGTTGGTTTCATTTGGTGATTTGTTTCATTAGAATGTAAAACTAATATCAGATATTTCCTGAGTTCAGGCTTTGGCCAATTAATATGCATCTGCTGAGGGCTTTCCATCGACAGATAAGGAGTAAATAGTGATTAATGATTGATTATCCTCTGACCCATATCCTGCCCAGCAAGGAGCTTCAAAATAGAAAGACTGTGAGACGCAGGGAGGGAGATTTGTAAAGATGACTTGCCCCCTAGGTTTCCTGTGCTGTAATCTGTACAGAAGCAGGTCACCAGGGCCCGCTCTCCCAGCCCTCAGACCGCCACACAGATTGCTTAATGAGTTTTGTTGGCCTTCCAGTTAGTGGTGAGAATGTAGCCATTTTGCCATCTGGGTTCCATTAGTATCTTCTTACTACTTACAATAAATAGCCAAGAAAACAATTCATTGTTGCAAATAAAAGAAATTGCTTGTTTTTAGCCTAATAAGAGTTATACTATTATTTAATGTTTCTTTGCAAATAGCCTCAAGGCCTATGTGAAATCATAGAATTTTAGCCTTACAAGGGACTCAATGATCAACATAATAAAAAGTTATGATTTTTACAAATAAAAGAATTCAAGGGAATTGGGGTTTCAGCTAAGTCCAAGATATTATTGTAATTTTTACCTGAAGTATCCAGTAGCTGAAAGACTGATTCTTTTCTCAAATGCAGCTCCTATCTGTAGAATAGGCATATTTAGTAAAAATAAAATAAATCTATCATCTAATGAATCAAAGTGAAAATATTTCATATATCAAAATTGATATCCAGTCATTATTTCTGGTACTCTGTCACTAGTAATAGAAACAATTACCATATATTTCTCCTGAATATTCTTTTTTACGATTGAATTAAAAAATCTAGATTGAGCAAACAAAATAGAATTTTGTTGTGTACCTATGTTAACGGGAAAAAAAACCTCTCTACTGTCTTTGAATCAATCTGACTCATAGTTACCCTATAGGACAGAGTAGAATTAATTACTCCTTAGGATTTCTAAGACTGCAAAATTTTTTTAATCAAATACTTTTATTGGGGGCTCTTACATCTCTTATCACAATCCATACATTCATCCATTGTGTCAAGCATATTTGTACATATGCTGCCCTCATTGTTTTCAAAGCATTTTCTTTCTACTTGAGCCCTTGATATCAGTTCCTCATTTCCCCCCTCCATTCCCTGCCCTCCCTCCCTTCCTCCCTCATGAACCCTTGATAAGTTATAGATTATTATTTTCATATCTTACATCATCCTCTGTCACCTTTCACCCACTTTTCTGTTGTTTGGTCCCCTGGGAGGGGGTTATATGTTGATCCTTGTGATCGA